GCCCCGAATCCCAGTGGCTGTGTGCAGGGCAGGGAGGTGATGTGCCCACAGCGTTCATTTGAAAATGGGTGCCTTTTTGACGTGTTCACCTGCCCTTTTTGATTTTACTTTTCCACAATTCTCTAGGAAAGATCAGCACCTGCTGTCCCCTGTGAACTGCTGGTACCTGGTTCTGACGCAGACGCGTCGGGAGAGCCGAGACCACGCCACGCTGAACGACATCTTCATGAACAATGTCATCGTCCGGCTGTCCCAGATCAGCGAGGATGTCATCAGGCTCTTCAAAAAGGTGACTGGGCAGCCCTGCTTCATGAGCCTCCATCCTGGCATTTGTGTCTGAAATAGAATTGTTATCGATGTTGCAGAGCAAACCTTGCAAGGGACTGTCCCTAAAAGTCGTTCCAGGTATTATTTATCCTGGAGTTTGAGGGAAACTGAGATCTAGACCTGTCACGTCTGGAGTGTGAGGTGTGACCTGGTGCTCAGTGTCAGTGCCAGAGAAGGGAGAGGTGGAAACAGGCTGACTTCTTCCCAAGACTCTCTGGAGGGCTTCAGGGAGCAGGTCAGAGCAGGCGTGTTGGGATGCTCAGGAGCAGGATGACAGCTGTGAGGCAGTGCAGGAAAGGAGTCTGTGCTTCCTGGGGCCAGAGCCTTGCCTCAGAAATTCAGTGGAGCTATTTCCAGGAGCCAGAGATTGTCATTAGCAGGTTGTGGGGCCTTCACTGGAAAAGGGCCTTAGCTGAAATTCTTGAAAAGCTGTTGAAGAGTAGAGAGGGGTTGTTTTCTGGATTAATGATTAGTTAAAAGGCAGGAAAAAAGGAAAGGAGACTTCCAGTGCAGTTCCTAATAAATTATTTGGAAAAAGCCTGAACAGTAAGATGACAAAATCTGCTGATGATACAGAATTATTAATGATAACCAAATTAAAAAGGAGCGTCAGAGACTTCTGAGAATCACACAGTCAGGTGGACCAGAGCTGTTCATTGAAGGTGAGGAGTGTGGTAAGAGCACCAAGAGTCCCAGCAGAGGGTAGGCTCTGTGGCCTTGTTTCCATCAGGGGACTGTAGTGAGGGAGCAGGGTGAGCCACAGGGCACCTGCCTTCCAGCAGGAGAAGGCTCATAATCAGGGCTTATCTTGAAATTTCAGCCTGACTGGAGAATAAATTTCATTTGATATTTTTATGGCCAGTTTCCTCTAGTTTATAGATCTGACCTAGAAATTAAACTGCAAGGTCAGGTTTGTGTTGGCTGATTTGATGTGGGATATCATCCCTTTTCCTGTTCTCCTGCCCTCCAGAAATGGAGATACTTGGTAGATGTTGGTTAGTCCAGTTCTGTCTCAAAATGTTCCTCCCATTTGCATTTTGCTCTGAACTGGTTTTTGAGATTTATGTTTAAACTGTGTTTCTGCTTTCCCTGTCCGTGTCTGGGGATGGTGTGTCTCGTTTGGAAACACAGGACAAATTCAGCCAGCTTGCAAACAAGGGCATACATTGAGTGTTCTAAGTGTTCTGGTGTCCAGTCTGGCTTTGAGTGTGGTGGGTAAAGCCCTCCAAGGGGGCCAGGCTGTGTGAGGCTGCTGGCACATAACCTGGCTGCAGAAGGGTTAAAGCAGTCGTGGTTCAGCTGCTGCATGTGCTGGAGATTGCTCTTTGATGGTAAATTAGAGTAACATTTTTTTCCAGAAATGTCACTTTTAATTCCTCCCATCTAGAGTTTATTAATGGCCTGTGACACGCTGCGGGGACATGGGGAGCCAGGAGGTTTTGTGTTTCCTGCCCTCATTATGTAAATGTGCACAGTCCCTAGGAAGGGTGGGGAGGGCTCAGGGGTGCAGGGTGAGCATAACCAAGGAGCAATTGCTCAGCACGTGGTAATCTGCCTGGAGAGATGTGGGTGCTGAGCTGCTCCACCCAGTGNAGGGGCTGTGCCCAGCACAGTCTGTGCCCGTGTGCACAGCACTGGGACCGTGTGGCAGCACTGGCAGCGTGGAGCCAGGTGCTGCTCCTGGCTGCTCTCCTTGCAGCTCCTGAGCCCGAGCTCTCCACCTTTGCCTCCCTGGGCCACAGTGTTTGTCCCTGTCTCTGTTTCTGTCAGTGGTGTCTGTGAAAGTCTCTCAGCTGGAACTGTGCCCTTTGTTGCAGATGAAACTCATGTCCTTCAGTTCAGTGGCCAAAGGCTGCAGCTGCTGTTCAGTGCCTTTCACAGAGCCTGGGCTTTGCCTGCTCGCTGCCCTTCTCCTCACCAGCCCCAGGCTCTTCACAGTCTGTTTCTTCCTCTAACCCCTGGTGATTTTTTTCCTGTTTCAGCCACAAGAGCAGTGATTTTTGCTGTTACATTGCTAAATCCTGTTTATTCCATATTACTAAATCCCATTTAATCTGTTTACT